ATGATGTCTACTAGAGAAGTTATTAGAATGTATTTAATTGCTATATAGGCTATATTTATAAAGATGCAACTAATATTAAGTGAATGTTTTCTGAATGCGTCTAGATTAAACGTACAATGTTTTTAGAGAGTGTTTGCGTAAGTTATTTTATATTTCATTATAGAACAGTTTATTATATAAACAGAGCTTAATATATAAATAAATACAAATATACATTCAACTTACCACCTAACATCAGTTAAAAGTCTTAGTACGAAAACAAGGTCTGTGGGTTCATTGTAGTAATTCGCTATCGATTCCCGCTACGGATGCAAAAGATAAGTAAGAAGAAAAAGAAGAACCAAAATATACCATTTCAAACAAGATTATTGAAGTACTCCTACTATATCACCAATCGATCTGATTTCAAGAATTTTAGGTTCTAAAATGTGTACATTTATTTCAAAATGTCCGTTGATAGCTCAAGAGTTACGACAGTATAGAATATTATGGTGTATAATGCCAAGGCTGGTGAAGCATGATCTCAAGATCGGTATCTCAAAAAATACTAATCAACAACACTGAATACTGTTCTATTCCGTTTTTATTTTCTCTTTGCACAAACATTTCTTACAAATAACGACACTTAAGACTGGGGTACAAGAAAAAAGCACCTGATAAAATGGCCGTATATTTTAGAACTACAACCAACAGATTTTATAAAGCAGTTTTTATCATTCTTACCACATACCAGAATTACAAAGGAAAGGAAGAAACTAATCTTTTACGGATAAAATCGAAATAATACAATCTATATTTGGTGATTTTAACTTCGGAATGATGAGCTATACCTATGACCTAGTGTTAGCGTACCTAGATCGTGAATCTGATAAAAGCATTTCACAGTTTGTGGCTGTGGGTACAATATAAAAGTGATAGTTAAATACCACTATTCGGTCGGACAAGGGTAAACAGTGGATGCTGTTGACTAGCTGTCCTCTCTCTAGATTATCAGTTTAAAATTAGAAACAGCTATGCACTGGTAGCTCTTATGTAGCTGGCCCAGCTTGGCCAGGTCGTTACGGCGCTAGAATCGCAATCTTCGGGTCGCGGGTTCAAATCCCCGTCACACCAAACATGCTCGCCCTTTCAGCCGTGTGGGCGATATAATGTGACGGTCAATCCCACTATTCGTTGGTAAAAGAGTAGCCCAAGAGTTAGCGGTGGGTGGTGATGACTAGCTGCCTTCCCTCTAGTCTTACACTGCTAAATTAGGGACGGCTAGCGCAGATAGCCCTCGTGTAGTAGCTTTGCGCGAAATTCAAAACAAACAAACAATTTTATGTAGCTTCGCAGAAAAATCTAAACAAACAAACAATCTTGAGGGAAAATTGTTAATGTCTACCATTGTTTAAAACAAAGGCAATATTTTAACAAAGCAATCTAAACGTATTGCACTTTAAACATTGTTAGGCTATTTGCGACTGATGAGCATGACATGAAATCATTTAAGTCCTAGGAACAAAAACGAATCATTTATTGTGAAAATCAATGAAAAATGCTATTTGTACAAAATTTACGCACGTAAAGAGTAATACATTTATATTTTTATATAACAACGAATCTCTGAGTAAACAGGACCAATTGTGTAATTTTTGATAGAGTTCACATGAGATCTGGAAATTCGTACGAATTAAAACACAAAATAAAGCTCTATGTGGCTTAATTTGAGATGTCTTTTGTGTTGGACTTTTATATGGGTATAACTGCTGTAGTTGCTTTACATTTCCCTAAGCTAAACCACTTTCACCATTCTGTTTATAACAATCCATGTCTTGCAACATTCTGTGAATATATTCAGTCTTTAAGTAAATGTGTTTCTCTTCGGCCTTTTGGCATTTTTATTAGAACCAACGGGAATTCTTCTAAGATATATACAACCTTGACAGAACTTGTTGACTGATGACTAGATGACTACTGACTTCACAAAAACATCTGTAAAAATTGTAAAACAGTAAGCTAACACCATGACCTCGGGTAAAATGTAATGAATAAGAAAATCTTTGTATGTCCTTTTATGTTCTTTTCATACATATTCAGCAAAATTTGCAAGGGAGTTGAGGAAGCACGTAAGTTTTCCTCACGGTCTGGTTGACTCAGAGATTCTTTGTTAATATTTCAGATACTGCAGGCAAATAGAAAAATATATTCATACCTTTTTTATATATTCTTTTTCCGTTAACATTTTCGGACACTTGCTATAAACCATCTGTAAAAAGAATCCATTAATTTAGGTGAAATCAAAATTTAAAAACAGGGAAGGATGTGGCATTTAAAACAACAAAAGATTCGATGCATGTTCAGGAGTTATTTTTATACGAAATATTTTGCAATAAATACATTAAAATGCAATATATTTCAATGTAATAAATACTTTTAGAATAATAGTGATTATTAAATAAAATATTCAGAAACAAATACTCTTTCATAATTAGTTTTTTAATCATACATATATGTAATGTAATTTTCGAAATTAAACTGGAAAGATTCATGCATAATAAAAATATAATCGAACAATTCAAACGTTGAATGTTTTACTTTTTTGTTGTTATAATGGACACAAAATGATAATAGAAAGTTCGAATATTGTTAGGTTTTTGTTAGTTTTACAGGGCACTCTCATGTCATATGGGATAAAATAGCAGCAAGCTTTTGTAAGTTTTATCTGCTCCATTGAATATTCACTTCTTGAAAAACAATATCACTTAAACCCCAAGTTTCATAAATGTTTTTCTTCTTCTTTACTGTCTAGTGGGCGCGCTAACAAGAAAAAAAAAGACAATAAATAAACAAGATTGGTTAGTTTTTATCTATTCTATTGCATGGCCACTATCATATTCTGGGTTTCGTAAGGTTTTGTCTATCCTAATAGATATTCTTATGTTCTGAAGAATGATAGAAAAAACTGTGATTTGTTTAAGTTTTGATTTATTCCATAGGTCATTTTTACTTCTTTGAATAATAATGTCATTTAGCGTAAAAATAAAACTTACAGACCAAAGTACTACGTTGAAATCTATAGGGTTTTCAACCCACAAGCTTTCAAGTCTTTAAAGAACACTTCGTTTAAAAATATAGATCAATCTTACGAGAATATGATTTGTTATGTAATTCCCCGGGGCATCGTTATACCCTGCAGTACCCCGTAAACTCATGTATGGTATGCCCCATAGAGTGTCGTAGTTTTCTGGAGCATTAAAGTAATAATAATCACCAAATCCCCGATAATTAGAAATTTGTATCAGAAATGAAATAATTAATGAAAATGGACGAAAAACCTGATCTGGTCATTTCATCCGGCCCGCCGCTGCACTGTGCCATAAACGAGCTAAAATATAATTATTTGTATGGAAATATCATAGATTGTAGATAAACTTACTATGTAAAAAAAAAAAAAAATAAGTGTAAGTAAAAATGTCCAAATTTATCCAATCTAATTTTTGCATCTGACAGTAATATAAGTTTTAGGAAAATCAGTGAAATAAAAAAATTCGGCGACTTTTTGCGACTCTGGATATCAGAGCGCTTTTTGTGTAAGTACCTGCAATGAAAGTTCATTCCTGCAGTCGCCTTTGCGTGCATTGTTGTAAGACGATACAATGCTTACAGCCAGTTGATACAAGTAGTGTGACGAGTGTGTGCGTGGTTACACAACTTTGTGATAGAGAAGACGTGTGCGTGTATTGTGTGTGCTTCTACGTATATTTGTGTGTTGTACATATGTGTTTATATATTTATATTTAAATCTGGAACACGGGTTCAATACACGGATTAAACCCGAACAGGCGACTTTTTGCGACTTTGGATATCAGAGCACTTTTTGTTTAAGTACCTGCAATGAAGTTTCCAAGAAAAGCGATTACGAGCCTGCTGCAGCGATCGTGTTTTAACTTGCATTGTCGTGTTTAAACCGGTTTGAAAAGTGCCGTATATAAAAGGGAATGACTTCAGTGAATTATGTTAAAATGTGAAAGAGCTCACAAGAGGTAAGCATCTAATATTTTCAAACTTTGATATTTATTTAAGCCCTATATTTTAATCGCTATACACTCAAAAAACGACTTAATTTAATTAACGAAGATTTCAATTAAATTAGTATCAAATTCTTAATACTATATTTGCCTATTAAGATCCTTAATATTTTTATTAAATATGATCTTAATTATTTTTTATGAACCTCTTCTAATTAATTTACATAATAAATTTTAAATACATTGGCAAATTATAAAAATTGCTTAATCAAATAACTTATCGGGAAAAAACTTTTAAACAAATTACATAATAACGTAATTTAATGTCATGAACTATTTACATTTAGTTTGTCATGACGACTTCTCCTTCAACATCCGACCTTGTTGAAATAACCTCTCAATTTTTCAATTGATAATATTTTAATTGAACAAGCTAGTTAAAATTTAAAAATTGTCAGTAAACCTGAATGGCTAAATTAATTCATCGTTAGACGTGTTGACACATAATAAACTTGTATTGTGATCAAACAATTAAAAAACAAGGAGAACGCAACAGTTATGTTGACTTTAATATCTAAGGTAAAATGATCATAACACAACAGCATTTTCCTAACATCAATGACTTTTTTTGAGTTTCAAACATGTATATATATAAGTTAAGGTGATTTTTGCTTATTATCAGACCAGTATCCTGGGTCCTGTGTACTACACAGAAACCTTGGCTTTATAAGGAAACGAGGCAAACAGCGTATAAGTTCACCAAGAAAAAACTTAGAGTCGTCCTGATAATGAACGTTATAAAACCAAGGCGGTAACTGGAAAGTTATTACTAATCCGAGCAGGTTAAATTTAACAACTTTATTATTTTAATGTTAACTTGAAATACTTTGAATGTTGTGATTTTGCTTTTTCTTAAAACTTATTTTGCAGATTATGATCCTTCATAACATACATGACAATTGAAACATTATTTTATTTTCTTTGTTATAGTTCTTCATAGAAGCTTTTACAGATATCTATCATGGTTCCGGTGTTGTTGCCCTTGATATAATAGTATAACCTTCAACACATCCTACCAAAATGTAAGAAACAATCATGAAATCGCATTTCAAACTTGGCAAACCCCTCCCCTTCAACTTTTGTCTGTTCATATACCTATACTACTGTAAACGCACGCGTTCCTAGATTTAAAAATTATTATCACTTTTTGTTCAAAGGACATTTTGAAAGATATGAGTGATTTTATTATCGGCATGGTGTGAACTGAATTCATTACTATACAGAGGGTTGAGTACGTTATATGATTTGGGAACTTGACCAACGTTCGTATCATCATGTTTAGTCATGCTCTATTAGACAACTATGTTTATCAACAATAAACCTGCAGCGTAGTTTCCATTACAAAAGGTTCCGCTGTAAGGCTTTCCTGTCAAAAGCATAAAGTTCTTCCCTGTTTCTTTACATAATACATATAATGTGTGAATATGAATGTTTTCCAGTGCCCATTTTAACAGTATGATCACAAAGCAATCTATAAGTTGTGTCTAGCAACGTTAATGATATGTTTTCAGATGGAGTGGCATGAAGACCCGTTTCTTTCACTAGATGCTTGAGGTAGGTAAAGGTTGAATGGGAAGTATGACTGATAGCTTTATAATTATCTTTACCGAACCCTCTTGGTCTTGTTTCCGTACAAAGCTGATATTTCTGAGAGGAAGACGTGTCGTGCCATACCCAAAAATGTACACGAATGCATAAATGCAGATGGAGAACATTTTGAACATTTTAAGTAATGTGAAAGGAATATCTGTATAACGTTATACTAACTATGTTAAAATAAAATAATTCACATATTTCCATTTCAAAGTGAGCTATTACATTCTCATTTTGAATACACATGATGTTATGTAGTAGAGAATGATTTCAGAAAATACATTCCTTTTAAATATTTTGAAGAGACCTAATACTTTAGTGCCACACTGTAATACAATTATAGGTCAATTGAGCTCAAAGCAACTGTGTCAAGATCAAATAAATCTCATCTTTCCCTATGTAGTATACTATTGCAATTTCATATAGTAGATATTCCTTTGAGAAATTGCATTTCTTTAATAGATGTAGAAGATATTTGGAACCTTCCTGCCTCTCTGTAGTACAGTAATAGGTCACTTGAGCTCAGAGAAATGAGTAAAGTATGTAGTTAATTAACATCATTGGCGATACTTTCAGGCATCACAACTGTAATTAGTTTTTGCAGCTGTGAGCGAATCTTTGAATTACACATTTAAACAAAAAACAGTACGACTTTTATATAGATAACCTGTTGTTATAACAGAGAATCGATATTACAAGAAGGATGTCGATTTGATATTTCCGTTTAAAATGTGAATTGTGTGTAGATGTTTTGATGCTGTTATCTACAGAAACTTTGAACCGCAAAGTGAAAAAAAAAGAAATTTGAAGGAATCCTACCGTGCGCACGAGATAATAAGCTGTAGGTACAAGATAATAAGTTATACGTACAAAATGTTATTATCTATCTTTTAATACCGAAGATAAAACATATACTGACGTTTCTATAGTGCCGCCTTGGCAGATATTATTTTTACCGCCCTTACCTCTTATTTATTATGCTATCAATCATCCTAACTTTTATAAGTTCAATAGGGGCAGATAAATTTTGACCGAAAAGAAATATTCTCGACTCTCCAAAGGGATAGAAAGCAATGCCGCATTCTCGAAAAGTATTTACATAATATTTCAATCAATATATGATATTGCATTTTTTTTCTTTATTGCCCGTTAATGGGGGTTGATTTGAATGCTAATTATGAAAAACAATGAATTAAATACACCAATACAAAGGTATTTTAATAGTTACTAGCTGAAGTACCCATCCGTTGGACTGGTGAAATAAAAACTCGTTTATAACATGGGATAGGAAATTGTGCAATAAAAATACATAAAGGTACCAATACTGAACTCAAGGCCCGGATGGCCAGGTGGTTAAGGCGCGGGTTCGAATCCCCGTCACACCAAACATGCTCATCCTTTCAGCCGTGGGGGCGTTATAATGTGACGGTCAATCCCACTATTCGTTGGTAAAAGAGTTGGCGATGAGTGGTGATGACTAGCTGCCTTCCCTCTAGTCTTACACTGCTAAATTAGGGACGGCTAGCGCAGATAGCCCTCGTGTAGCTTTGCGCGAAATTCAAAACAAACAAACAAATTGAACACAAAGACATACTGTTTTTCAAGAATTCTAACAGTAGTGCTTACATAGTTCATTCTAATGCTGAGGGATATACAACATTGATAGTTTTTCCGAAATTAGATGTGAAATTACATGGGGGTCCAACACCTCCCTCATAATCTTCCTAATGTTATCCTGTATGACTATGTCAAGTTTGATGCTACTTTATCAAGAAATGTAGAAACGTATAAGGAATAGATACACACACACACATATTGACGTTTATTTACTTAGAGTCACGTGATCGCTCCAGAAATTAAGCTTTTGTATTAGTTACGTCATTTATCACGGGATCAGTCATATAATCACTCAGCCCTCTTGATCGGTATCTCGATCTGGTTCGGCGGGTTGCGATGACCCAACATTACAAAATTTAATAAAAACATAATTCCCTGATTCATTCAATGTTTCTTAAATTTTCCGCCCCTTTTAAATTTGCCGCCATAGGCATCTGTTTACTCTGCCTATGCGTAAATCCAGCTCTGTTTCTAAGGGAAGGGAATGGAACTATCTAATCGTTTAAATATTCATCATATTCAAGTGGCTTAAGGAAAAAATTGTTACACACTGGGCTAAAGCACCAAAGTTGGCATACTTATTGTTTCAGGTACACAAAAGCTATAAGAAGGGCGGTGCCCCAGCTGGCCATTTAAGTCAAGGAGAGACTAAGATTATCCAAGATGGTTGCCAGTGCGCTCATGAATAGCTCGTTTTGTCATATTTTATTTATTCACAACACTGACTAAAATAAATATATCGACAGAATTTTACCCACAGTATATTTTAAAAATACAACTGAAATTAAAAATGTAATATTTCAAAAGTTATAGAATAAACATTAAGTATAAAAAATAACTTTAATGAACGTCTAAGAAAAAGAATTACACAAAATATTTTTACCATTATGTACAGCAATATTTTTACAAGTTATTGTAAATATTACAGCAGTAAGAAAAGGATATAAATAAGATACAACCAGTTCAAGTTACATTTTAAAAGCATGATAATTCAGTAAAAATAATCAAAATTTAAATAAAAGTGTCGGAAAATTAGGGCTTATATTAAGAGCTTGATGTGCTTCACAATGTACAAGAATGTTCGAAATGATTGCTTTGCTGCTTAATTAGTACCGATACATGTTGTGTAGTGGATATTAGTCTACAAAGATATTTATCATATTTACTGAGGACAGTTTTCATTCCACTGGCAAAGTGCTGTACACTAAAGTCTTGTTCTCCTGCAAATACATCTCTGTTCAGTTTGCAGGTTTGTCAGCCAGATTCTAGCTTGGTATATATATATATACTCTGATTTACATGTTCAATAAGATCCGACTGTGTTGGTGGCAGGTTTTGCATCAGTTACATCTTGCATGGAAAGAGTTCCTTCTTCAGGTCATTGACGTTTTCATATCGAGTTGAGCTGTCATAGAGGATGCAAATGGATTACTCTACGATGCTGAAGTAAAAAAAATCTAAGTCAATGGTTCGAAGGGTTGCTGCACAGGGAGTTTGAAGCCTTCATCTGAGGGGAATGCCTTCCATACTTCTCAAGATATCTTTTTTGCCCTGTTATTGAACTGTAATATTTTATCAGACCCAAAAAAGGGAGTACACTGGACCATTTTTCGCCAAGTTTGAGGCAGATGGATTTGATATGGTAGTAGCTGAAGTTCTTTCCTTTTCCAAAGGCTACCGAAAGCTATACATACAGTAGGATGTTCCAGTGTAAGATCAAAAAACATACCGACCAGGATTACAACAACAACATCTGTATTCACTGTTCTGACCATGATAGTCTTTGCACCATTTTTCACAGCATCGACAATTTTAAGACACATTCTAGTGTCAGCCTCTTCGTGATCGGATGCTAGCAATGGTTTGCTGTTGTAGTTTGACACAACTGATTTTCCAGAAGTGATGTAGCCTTCTTTCCTGCTGGCTAATCACAGGCAGTTACGTCTTCCATCAGTAGTGCAAATAGCTATTATTTGTTGCTCAGATCCGGCACGAATGCAGCAAAGTTTACGGGCATCTTTATTTCAGGATAACTTTTCACCTTACCTTCTTCCCTCTCTTCTCACATGTGGCCTCCTCCAAGATATCTTCCTTTTTATATGTCCTATATCATTTATTCGTTCACAGTCCTAAAGCTGCCAATTGATCCAAATTATGAAGTTCTTAGCACTGTACTCACTAAATATTGAAGCATCACCCCTGAGAAGTGCATACTACAGCGGGATCATCAAATACTCTGACATAAAAATGCATTGGGGCTTCTCACTAGAAGGTATAGATCTAATCATTGTCATTTGCAACTTGGCGAGTAAAGATTTTCATTCTGACTCAGAGATGGTGGCCAAGGGTGATTTTCATGCATGAAAAATTCATCTACGTACCCATCAATAATTTGACTTGAGAAGAACATTTAGCTGAAGAAACTGCAGTCTCTCTTGATGACTTTCCTCTGTTACTTCATCTTGAATTTGGCTTTTGTTTTGAGATTTTTGGAGATGTGGACGTTATCCCTCTTGATTGGCTCATGGATTGACAGAGTCCTCTCCACAATAATGTCCTTTATATATATTTGGCATACTTTGTGGTACCTGCTTCTTCCATGCTGTAAAATGTACTTATCACATCCTTGTCAACACAATCATGGATATTTAGGGCTATACGTTCATGTGATTCTTCAGCAAAAGAGTTACCCATCAATACAGTTTTTGTAAAGAGTTTATTGGCTTGTGTCTTGAAGGATAGCTGAATTGAAAGCCCTTGTTCATGTATTTTAAGATCAGGGTAGTTAA